AGAATTCCATTTAGAAATAGAGTCATAATAACAATTAGAAGAACTCGGTGAATAGAATTATGAGGTAGATCTAAGCTCTTTTTACTGTCAGATTTCTTAACTTTGTTGTCCAGATTTTTCAAAAAAAGCTGAGATACTGCACTGATGCAAAAGGAAAATCATATCATAAAATGGAGAAAACAGATTTGGATGAAACAGAAGATAAGTTTGGGCGGGGATGTGGCTCAGTGGCATAAGCGCCTGCCTTCCAAGTAGGTGATTGTAAGTTTGATCCCTGATACCAATAAAAAAAAAAAAAAAAGATAAATTCGTTACAGTCAGTTTCTAGGAAAGAAAGTGGCTCTCTGTATTAGTTCACTCCTGCTATTATAAAAATCAGAGTAGGTAATTTTTAGTAGAGGTAATTTATTCCTAATTATTTCAGTGGCCAGTGTGTGAAAATCATCACAGATTTTCTGCCTGGTGAGAGCTGCTGTCCACCTCCAAATGGCATCTTGTTATGTCTTCAAATGACAGAAGAGAGAGCGGTATCCTTCTATTAAGGAAATGTTAGGACCAGGTAGCTCTCTGAAGACTCACGTAAGGGCTCTAATCTCCTTTTCCTGTCCCTAATGGTTGCATTAGTTTTCCACTGATGTGACAAAAACTTCACATAAATTCACTTAATGAAGAAAAACTTATTTCAGTTCCTAGTTTTAGAGGTTCCAGACTACTGTCAGCTAACTCCTTTGTTCTAGGCTGTTGCAAGGTATAAAACTCATGGAGAAAAAGGGTCCATTTGAGAAAATCTACCTGCCTCATGGCAACTAGGAAACAGACACAGGGAACAGGGAGCCTGAAAGAAATGAGCTGACAAGATACTCATTTCAAAATCTTGTTCCCTGTGACCCATGTTCTTCAGCTGGCCCTGGCTTTCCCAGACATTCAGCCTAAGAACTTAACAGTGGGTTAACCCGGGGGCTTCACAGCACAAGTCCCTCCCCCAGTGCCAGTCAACTGGCACCAAACGTGGAGCACAGTGATGTTTTGAGGTACATTGTGAATCCCACTCATAAAGGTAGAGCCCTCATCCCCACTCAGCCCTTAAAAACCACACCTTCTAAAATCATCACCTTGGGTTTTAGGTTCCAACATATAAAATTTGGAGGGCCACATATGCTGAAATCAGAGCATAATTTTGAGGTCAACATCAGAGGTCATCTATCTTCAATGTGACCTCCAATTGTGATACACCAAAGTCTGTAACAGACATCTTGTGTGAATGCAGTCTTTAAATTCCTTTGTAGCATTTTGGATAAAGAAGGCAAAAAAAAAAAAAAAAAGTAAAATTAAATTTCCATAAGACCTCTGTGAAAATTATAAAACCAATTACTCCATAGTGAAATATTAGCTACTTATGTTGTGGCAGGACAATGTCTGTGCTCAGCGTATGTGGAATACATTTTATTTTATTTTAAAAGTAGAGTTCAAAGACAGAATTCCACAGAGTAAATTCAATGCCATTGGAAAAATCAGGGGGGAATATCTAGATCAGAAAATTATACCCTAGTAGCAAAATCGGTAAGATAATTCAAAATAAATCTACTTGGATTTTTTTTTTTTTTTTGAGATTCAGTCTTGCTATGCAGTTCTGGCTGACCTTGGGCCCACTTTGTAGCCCAGGCTGGTCTCCAACTTGCAAACAATTCTGCCTCAGCCTCCAAGTGCTGAGATACAGGAGTGTGCCATCATGCCTGGCTTTATATACTTGGATTGTTAAACAACCAAGCAACAGTTCTAGAAACAAAAACAGGTCAGCAAAATTAATCTATGGATTAGACAACTGGCTATACACAGTCAAGAAAATCACCCAGAGTTAACACAGAGAAATATGGGGAAGGAAGATATAAAAATAAAATATGGAGAAAAATGTTAATTATGTGATGTCATGGTTTATGTCTGTGTCCCCCAGGCCTCATGCATTTACACTGTGCATTTGTGATGGTTCATTGTCTAGTACTTAGATTGATGGTGTCAGTGCTACACCCACAAAGGGGTGGAGCCAGGATGTGATGTAATGGCAGGAAGAAGGTGTGTCTTGCTCTTTGCTGGTTCCTGCTTGCTGTTTGCAGCCGCCATGAACTGAGGCCCTGCCACACCAGCCTGTCTTGGAGCTGAGTATGGACTGAAACCTCCAAAAACTGTAAGAAATAAACCTTTCCTTTTCCAACTTGGTGCATCAGGTATTTTGTCTCAGCAACGAGTTAAAAGCAACTAAGACATATGCCTATAGAAATTTGGAGAATAAAAAATCAGGAGATTGGGGAAGCCGAAATATTAAAAAATAAGAAGCCTTGCAATTTTCCAAAATAGAAGAAAAACAAACTGTTTCATGCAAACTGCTTACACAGACTACTTCATTATTTCTTTTCTCTCACATTTGTGATAAAGGAAACATATATTTCATCTTTGTCCTTGGTTTCTTGCTTCTGAAAACTTTGTAATTTCCTGGGTGATAGTGATGAAATCTTTTCTTATTTAAAATACATTTCTTTAAACCTTACTGAGGTTGTGTTAATGAGGTGACTGTCAGATGGGTGAGGAGCACCCTAACAAACCATGTGATTAGATGTTAGAACTGTCAGTCCCAACTTCTTGGGGATTAGGAATCCTGTTCAGTCACCAATGGCCAATGATTTAATCAATCATACTTTCATAATGGAGCCTCCATAAAACCTCTAAACAACCCAAATCCATCCACATGCACAGAGGGTGGCATACCCCAGAATCATGGGAACAAAATCTGCTGTGCCTAGGACTCTTCTAGACCTCACCTATGTCCACTGTATCTTTTATAAGATTTTTTATAAAGTAGTAATAGAAAGTACAATGTTTCTCTGAGTGCTGTGAGCCGTTGTAACAAATTGTCAAACCTGGGGCTTGGATTGTAAGAACTCCTGATCTTTTCCAAGTGTGAGTAATTTAAGACCCATTACTTGCGATTGGCACATGAAGTGTGGGCAGTTTTATGAGACTGAGACCTTCACTTGTGGAGGCAGTGCTAACTCTGGCTAGTGATAAAATCAAACCAAATTACAGGGTACTGTGGTGGTCAGCTTTCCTGTTCCTCAGGCTTGATACTTGACACCCACACTTAAAGGAATAAATGTTTTATTTGACTCAGGGTTACACGTGATTCAGTCCTTGGTCTCTGGCCCTGGATGGGTATGGTGGAGCAAAACTGGTCAGTTCATGTGGTCAGGAGGCAGAGCAGAAGGGCAGCACTTGAGAAGACTGGATCCAGGAGACACGTATTATCCAAGGTCAGGCTTCCATGACTTTATCAGACCAGACACCTAACAATCTGGTTTACTCCCCACTAGGTATCTCTTAATCCAATCAGGTCTGGATAGAGTCATAGACCCCTCATTCATGTCTGCAGAGAAGTGAAAAATTGCTGGAAAACATTCACGTTTGTTGGCAGAAAGAGATCCTAAGTATAAAAACTTTATTCCATTCCATATCTTTCAATGGCAGAGTACTGCTCATAAATATCTTAATTTGCTTATCAAGACAGATGATATCTACGTAAGTTCTTTAGCTTCATTTACTGTCATACCCAGCTTCACAAAATATCTAATATTTAGTCCCCAATCTTTTTGTGTCTTCTCCCCATTATCTGTGTCCACACTGACTAGAATTCCCTCCTCCATTCACCTATCTCTTATCTATTTCCATCTTTCTCATTATCTGCCAGCTCACGCTTTGGTTACTACTACTTGAATATTAGAGACTGTTTTTTGCACACTAGGTATCCCTGTGTTCCCCAAGGCAGAGTATGAATTCTACTCAGATTGCCTTCACCTTTGCTAATTTGTAGTTGGAGGGTGACATTTTCATCTTAAAATTTAAGAGTGAATGGGATGAAGGGAAGTGTCCAGATTTTGTGGCCTTCTGAGGTACTTAAATGAAATGTGGAGAATGCCATTGAATTGGAGGAGATAAGAGACTATAAGGTATTGATTAAATTATATACCTGGTACATTGATATCCCCTAGCACTGTAGCAGGGTGAAGATGACTTTGAATTAGTGTCTAAGTTCCTGGTAAAAGTAAAATAGCGATTAAGTAGAGCCTCTGAAGAAGGTCATATTGGCTTCATTTTTTTGGAAGCGACATGATAACCATTAGTAAATAGATGATTGATTTCTCCCTGTCATCAAGGCCTACATGTGGTATTTATGCAAAGTGGGAAGTCTGCTCTAAAGTCAACTATGAATGAGCAGCTTCAGTGGGGAAAGTTGTATAAGTCAGTGTAAGAAACTTCAGGGGGTATCTATGAAAAATGTGACAGGGACATGCATTGTTATTCATCAGGTGACAAGAACCAAACTGTAATTCTCTATTTCCTTCAAAAGCACTACATAAGTCCAAATACTGTCCAAGTTATTTGATTGACAAGGGTTTGATGATAGCCAATAGATACAGTGAAATCAGAAAACTTGTCAGTTCGGAAGGAAAACTGTCAACACGTTTCCCTCAGGTTGTGGGGCATGTGGGCTTCCTAATTCTTGGGTCTCATTCTTACTATTTGTGAAATCATATGTCAGGATACAGCATCAGAGCTTTGGCTGGTCCTCCCTTTGAGATGACAGAAGATGTATTCTTTACAAATGGTAGCTTGAAATTCTGAACATGTTTTATGCTGTATCTGAGCAGAGAGTGGGTGAGAGACAGATGCCTATATCAAGTGTTTTGGAAGGAAAGCATTCATTTTCTTCAGATGGAATTGGTTCCTGAGCCGTGGCAGTGAAGTCAGGCTTCAGAATTTGCTGAGTTGCAAGTAATTGTTGCTAAGACTTTCTAGCTCTTTGGGTGACAGATATCGACAGGTAGGAAGAGGCTTGTGAAGAGTCTCCTTCCTGATTTACAGCGATCCCACATGGTGCCTGTGCATTCCTGTGTGTGTTCCACAGAGGTGATGCATTTGCACTTCACAGTATGCTTCCCTTGTGTTCACAGTTGTGAGACTTCTTCCCAAAGATCAATACCTCCGACACAATGAGAGAAGACTGATGATTTGCTCGGAGTGGACTCTTCATCACCAGTTCCTCAGAAGCAAAACCCAACACAAATAAGCACCTCTAGAATTCTGTGGATGAGTGATACCTGTGGGGTCTCTTCCTCCAAATCTGTTTTAACTCAAGTCAGAGGAGAACTGAGGTAAGGATCAGTACAAAGAACAGCTGTACTATAAAACAATGCTTTTGCTCTTTCATGACCCAGATAACAGACTCTCTTTCCTAATATTTAGCAGAAAGTCTCATTAGTTTTCACTGAGTATTGTAATGAGACCCAGATAATGTCATGGGATGTATTAAATATATGGGAAAAACCCCAAACTGGATCTATAATTAGTTGCATTTTTCTGAGTCAGACCAAGATTTTAGAACAAGAAGAAGCCATAAGTGCCAGGTAAAAAGTAAAATTAATACCACATGTAGGAATTGGTTTCTAGAATAAGTTTTTAAAACTCCCAATAACGAATGATAAGTTTGTAACAAAATAAGACAAGGTGACATAAAATTCTCTGTCCTATAAATTGCTCAAAAAATACTAAGAAATTTTAAGAAAGTTATGAAAATTTTATTCCTATATTGAGATTGCAAAAAATAAGAAAAAAAGATGGTAAAAGCTAAGAGTTCAGTGTATTTGGACATGCAGATATATCAAGTCAGTGTGGTCTATTTGACCATTTGAGGAAACACATGTAGTTGCATGTCTGTAATTTTTTTTGACTAATACTGCAAGTTGCCTAAATTGTGTCTGACTTTTCAAGTATCCTTAAGTTTATGTAGGCTAAAAACTATGTGTAAATTATGAACTCTGATCACCTTCCTTTGTTTGCTAAAGCCTGTGTCATCAGTAAATACGGTTTCAGGGTCTGAGGTGTTCCTCCATCCTTTGGAGACACCTGCTGATGGCTGCAGCAGTGTGCGGCACACTTTGGGGTGAAGATGGGACACTTTACTCAGCCATAAACTCAGGCAGCGTTTGCCAGCTGAGCAGGTCACTCAGTGTGTCTTAGAGGGGGATTTCCCTATGAACTGCTTGTTGTGCTGAGTCTTCTTTGTTAGCATGCACTCCTCTCCTCATGATTTGTTCCCTATGACATGTTCAATCCTAACCTGGCAGCAGCAATTAGAGTCACTTTGTCCCAGTTAATTTACATAATTGTGAATTTTCTCAAGAAATTGATTGACATCTGATGCTCTGCCCTCAAAAGAGGTCCATTTTTCCATTGTGCTGATTTTCTTACCTATTCTGCACAGAGCCCTCATGAATATGAAACCATACCAAAGTCAGGGGGAGGCAGCGTTCAGTCATTGCAGGCGCTTTCTACTTGCCTCATATTTGCCCTAATGGAGAACGGTGCTATTATAGTGAAACACACTTCTCGGTGTCTTCTGTGTCTTCGTGTGGTGGTCCAGAAGTAGCTGAACTATTGTCTTTGATTTCATTTTATTAGCACTTGGTAGCAAGGCTGAGTCCTTGAGATGTAAACTCCTATTTTGTTCCCACTGCCCTCTCAGTCCTCCCATTTTCTGGCCATCTCAGTTTCTTCCCAGCCCTTTCTGGATCTTTCTTCCCTATTGATTTTAACCTCATTAATTGATGAAAATGGATTCATGTATTTAAATGCTTTTTACGGACTGAAGATAAGCTCTGGCAAAGTGATTTTTGCATAGTTGTAGTTGTGGTAAATATTGATGGATAAATAGAATTTCACTAAATGGAAAAGACTGTAAATGTTTCAAAAAAAGAGTAAGTGCTAGGACACCTTAACGGTTCTTAAGAATTTGGAATTGAGCTTGAGTCATCCTATAGTTTGCTAAGCTAGAGGACACTAGCTTGGCAATAATTAGGCTTCACCTATTGTCACCAGCCACTAGGGAGTGCGTGGAGCTTTCTTGTAAGGAATTTGAGATGCCTTTTATGTATTAAGAATGGAACGTAGGGCCAGCAATACTGAGCTACATCTAAAGGTATTTTTTTGTTTGCCTGTTTTGTTTTCGTTTTGAAACAGGGTCTTGCGAAGTTGCACAGTTGCTAAATTGCCTACACCGGGCTCAAATTCAATCCTCCTGTCTCCATCTTCCGAAGTGCTGGGATTACAGCTGTGCACCACAATACCTGGCTAAAACCACGGGGTTGTTAAGTAGTTGGGTAACTAACCCTATTCATACGTTCATTATTTATTCATCCATTCATATATAGGGTGCTTGTTTTTAAGTGCTACTCTCTGTTTATGGAATTTGATCATAAAAGAATAAGGAAAAGATATCTAAACATAATTAAATGGGTTACAATATTGAGTAGTAGTGGGTTCTAGAAACCAAAATAAAAGGAGTAAAGCACAAGAAATAGAGGTATTTCATTAGGAAGAAGAAAGGGAATTCTCTCTGGAGGAGAACGAGAGAGAAGACAGCAAGTTGTGACATGAGAGCAGGGTAGCCTGGGGCCACAAGGGCAGAGGTCCCGAGGTGAGAGCTGCTTGCCGTGTCCAACACTGAGTTAAAGGGAAGCACAGCGTTAGGGAGCAGGGTAAGAGCTAACTAGTGTGGAGCTCACGGTCCCTGGGAGAGACTGTGTCTTCTCACTGCACTGGGTAATGTCACAGGGCTTTGGACAAGGCTGTGGCCTGCTGAGGTTGATGGCTTTATAAGGTGACCCCAGATGCTGTGAACTCACTGCGGAAGAAGCAAGCCCGGAAGCTGGGGTCCTGATGAGAACAGGCCCAAGAGGAACCGCACAGGAACTCGGGTGTGGATAGGGGCTGGAGGCAGGATTGGGATCGGAGGGGAAAAGCTTTTCTCTAAAACTGCCAAGGAGATTACATTTGATAGTTGCATCCTGTGTGTAGGCAGCAGGAGTCAAGCACCCAGGAGAACAGTAAATTAGACTGCTTTATGGTTCGCTTTTCACCATCAGTGTTTTCACTCAGCGTTCATCCCTGTAACCTGGAAACCCCACCTGGGGATTCAGAGACCCTGATGCAGACTACTGGAGCATGCACGCTGCCCTCCTCGAAAAGAAAGAGGATGCAAGTCCTGTCTGTCTCAGCCGCTGCGTTGGTCAGACGTGTGCTCCGCATTTAGATGAAGCAAAGCCTCTCGTCCTGGGCTGTGCTATCCTGAGCTGTTTTCTGTGACAGCTCTCTCAAGTGTTCGTGGAAATAGCTGTGTTAAAAGACATAAAGAGCAGTGTACAGTGTACTGCAGGGAGCACAATTCTCTCCTCTGTCCTCCTTTTCTCCTTCCACTCTCCTTCCTTTAGCTTTCTTTTTTCCCTTCTCTCTCTCTCTCTTCCTTCCTTCCTTCCTTCCTTCCTTCCTTCCTTCCTTCCTTCCTTTCTTCCTGTGTTAGGAAGGGCCTCTTGCATGCTAAGCCATTGATCTGCTACTGAGATGCAAACACCTCTAGCCCAGGGATTTAAATACTTTCTTTTGTACCAACTTCTGTATTTTTTTTAACATTTAATTTTTCTTAGTACATGAGTGTGTAGATAGTGATTAGATTAATTGTGAGAGGTGGTACATGTACCTAATACTTCTTAACTCTTTTAACTCACCTCTGCTTCCCCTCTTCCCCTCCCTCTACCTCTTTCTTTTTGTAGGATACAGATCTTATCCTTTCAGCTTCGTGGAGGAAAATTTTAAAGAGATGATTTTGGTACACATTGAAACTACGTATCAGCTGAATTCCCATGTATTAATAAGAATGGGTGGCATCATATAGTTCAATGCAAAATAAATTTTAAAGAAAATAGCACATTTTTTACTACTAATAATGTCAGTTCAAAGTTTACACATGTAGCACCGAAGTGGATGATAGTTAGTACAGATACCCAGAAAAATGTCCAAAAACAGAAGAGAAGGTGAGTTAGAAAAGAGAGGTGACTCAGCAGGACCTTCAGGGAGCGTTGGTGAGTCAGAGTGACTATGCAGAGAGCTGAGGAACACGCCAGGGCGTAGCCAGGGGATGTGCACGGGACACAGTCCTTCAGCTCAGGTGGCGGGGTTGGAATCTTGTCAGCAGTGTTCTTAGCTGTGGGGCTTGGTATGGTATTTAAACGTATTCTGCTTGTAACCTGGACAGAAAAAGTGGGTAACAGCATTTATAAGATTATTTTCTTACTTAACCCACAGGAAGCCAGACTATGATGCCCAATATGGATTGACTATTATCTTCTTTTGAAGTCCTGGAAGGTCCTCAGTGTAGGTTTTATTGGTTCTGTACCTTTTTTGATCAATTCTATTATACCTGATGATATAGACAACTCGATTTAAAAATAGCAAGAGGCACAATGGTAACCACTTTTGATCACCTGGTATTCTATTTTTGCATCATGTACTATGCCCATCCTTCTGTTCTAACTGACTCTGTTTTGCTTAGTCACGTTTGGTTTTATTCTCTTCAAAAAAGTAATACGAACTGTGAGAGTAATAAAACCCTAAAAGTCTAATTGCTACTGTAAAAAAGAGAGGAAAGTAAGGTGGACTAAGGGATATAACCGCAGGTATGTTCGAGAGTGTAGGATGGAAAACCATATAACTGAGCTTTTGTTGGATCATTGAACGGAACTGTCTCCAATTTCACTGTATGAATGTCCACTTTATATGCTTTAATTTAGTGATATGGACAACTGTTTCTGGGAAGGTAATATGTAACCTATTAACTGGTGATTTTGTACTGTATATATTTTTTTCTTGAAATACTGTATTATTTGTACCCTTTTACTACATTGTTTTTTTATGTCCTTTCTTTTTTCTTCTCTCTTTAAATAAAAAAAAGATTATTTTCAGCATCAAATTAGATTTGTACCTACAGATCCTAATACATAGAATGGTATATAACTATATTTTACTTGTTCTTCTTTGGGATGGGTTTTGGAAATGATAGGAAATATAAAGATAAAGAGGGAAATAAAAACTATTCTGTTTTCTTAGTTCTTATGGTTAGTGTTTCATCACATATTTATGCCAGGAAAAAAGTTTTAACCATAATGAGGAAACAGTAAACCCTACAGGGCGGAGGGCTTGATTTTAAAAATATCTATCTTGGGGTACAATTCTTGTTGCATACTTCTGGAGTTCTCTTGTTTTTACTGTGGCATGTCATGTTACGGATAAACTACAACACATTTATCAGTTAGATGGGGAGACATTTGGCGTATTCTCATTGTTGTGATATTATAAATACCAATGCTGCAAAGCTTCACACTGCATTTGGGCAGAACGTGTCTGAGGCATTCATCAGGAGTTGTCACATAGCGGCTTTATCACCTCTCTCTCTCTGGCCTTCCCTTCTCTTCCAGTTTTCAAATCTAACGCCTGTGCCTTTTACTAGAAAAACTAAAACTGGAATCACAGGTCAGGGGTCTTCTAGAAAATGGAGTTTTTGGCTGATGCTTTTGTGATGCAGCAGAAATATGAAAAGATGGGGCAGATGGTGCTTAGTGGACAGTAGACAATAAAGCATGAACATTTCTTGGCTCATGGGTGTGTGGACATTGTGCTATGTCTGTGGAATTATCCTATTTCCCCATTGGGAAATTTGTGAAATGCATTTAAATATTCAGAGATGAGCCTTTTGTTAGTGATAGGTTTTGCAAATAGCTTTCACTACTCTGAGCTTTGCCTTTTCTCTCATAATAGTTTTTTTTTGATGACTATAAGTTCTTAACTTTAACTATAAATTTTAGTTAAATATATTTTACTAATTCTTTTCATTATTCTTAGTGTTCGACACCATACTACTTAACAAAATTTTCTTTGCCATTTGGCCAGATTCTAATTTTCTTTTTTATTTTAAAGAGAAAAAAAAAAAAACACAGAAAAGTAAAACAGAAACAAGAGACATGCAGACAACTACAAAAACAAAGCAAAAAACCAAACAATAACAACATAGGCTTTCAAAACAGGATAGGAACTTAACAATACTATAAAGTTCTAATATTGCATGTTGTTATCTTCAAAAGTGTTACTTACATTACCAGATATAGACATGCAAGATTGCTCTGATCGTATGAATATTAACTGTTCTTTTCCAAGACGACAACCGGTAGTATAATCATCTTTACTATTTTGTGTATATATAAACAAATTTATATGTTTCCTTTTCCCTTTCTCTTATCTTCTTTCCTCATCCTAGTTATTTTTTCTCTCTAAGAGCAGTCTCTCACCCATTCACAATATCGATTGTATATTTCCAATCTTATTTACTCTTTCAGTTTCTTACCCTAGGGAGAAAATATGGTATTTACAAGTGAGTCTGATTTATTTCACTTATGAATATGGCCTCAAGTCACACCCATTTACCCATAAAAGCCTCAATGAAATCCTTCTTTATAGCTGAGTATTACTCCATTGTATAAAAACGTCACATCTTTTTTATCCATTCCTCAGTTGATGGGCATTTGGGTTGTTTCTAAGGTTTTGTTATTACAAATTGTTCTCTATAAAAATGGGTACACATATAGCAGTGTGGTATGATGTTTTCAAATCTTCTGGGAAAATGCCCAGAAGAGGGATAACTGGATCAAAGGGGACCTCTAATCCTGGCTTTTTGCGGAACCCCCACACTGATTTCCACAGTGGTTGCACCAGCCTACACTCCCACCAACAGTGGAGAGTTCCTTTTTCCTCCGAGCCCCTCTAGCATTTCTTATTGGTTGATTCCTTGAGCTTGCCCGTTCTTTCTGGAATAAGATGGGATCTCAGCATTGTTTTAATTTGCATTTCTCTAATGACCAATGATAATGAACATTTTTTTCATATAATTATTTTCCATTTGTATTTCTTCATCTGAGAAGTGTGAATTCATCTCAGATGCTCATTTTTGGACTGGGTCTTTGAATTTTGGGGATCTGGTTTCTTTTTAATTCTTTATGTTCGAGATAGAAGTTCTTTGTCGGAGGGACAGTTCACTAAGATTTTTCCCAATTTGTGGGTTTCCTTTTTACTCTGTTGGAGATTTCTTTTGGCATGCAAAAGTGTTCTAATAAGATGAGATCTGTTGTTGATTCTGGGAAGTATTCCCTGTGTAGTTTGATTTTTGTTCATGAATTCTCTGCCTATCGCTATATCTTCAGAATTGCTACCTATTTTGTTTTCTGGAATATTTAGTGTTTCTGTTTTATGGTTAGATCTTTTGATCCATTTATACTTTAGTGCATGGTGATAGACAGGAATTTAGTTTTCGTTTTCAGCATATGGAAAATCAGTTTTTCCAGCACCACTTATTAAAGAGGCTGTCTTTCTTCCAGTGAACTTGTTTGGCTCCTTTGTCAAGGATAAAGTGGCTGAGTGTGTTTGTAGTTGTGGTTGTACCTTCTAATCTATTCCATTGATCTTCGGATCTGTTTTTATTCCAGTACTATGCTGATTTTATCACAGTAGCTTTGTGGTATAATTTTAAGTCAGGGATTGAGATGCCTCCTGCCTTGCCTTTGTTGCCCAGAATTGCCTTTGCTATTCTAGGTCTCTTCTGGTTCCAGATGAATTTTAGGAGTGGTTTCTTTAGATCTGTGAGGTATGCTAATGGTATTTTGATTGGAATTACATTAAAGTTGTATAACAATTTTGGTAGAATGGCCATTTTCACCATGTTTGTTCTTCCTATCCATGAACAAAGAAAGCCTTTTTATTTTCTGAAATCCTCTTTGGTTTCTTTTTTCAGAGAAATGTAATTTTCAATATATAGATCTTTTACGCCCTTTGTTAGATTGATTCCTAAATATTTCATTTTGGGGGGGTGCTGTTGTAAAAGGTGCAGTTTCCCTGATTTTTTCTCTCATTCAGTTTGTTGTTTATGTACAGGTACGCTACTGATTTTTAAGTGTTGACTTTGTATCCAGCTACATTGCTGATTTGTTTATTAGATCTAGAAGTCTTTTAATAGAGTATCATGTCATCTTCAAATAATGATAATTTAACTTCTTGCTTTGCTACCTTTATTCCTTTTATTTTTCTCTCGTGTCTAATTGCTCTGGCTAATATTTCTAGAACTATATTGAATAGGAGTGGTGATAGTGGGCATCCTTGTCTTGTTCCTTATTTTAGAATGAAATCTTTCAGTTCTTGTCCATATAAACTTCTTGATGATTTGCTACATTCTGTTTGCCATTGTCTTATTGAGGATTTCTGCATCTGTGTTCATTAGGGAGGTTGGCATATAGTTCTCTTTTTGGTTGAATCTTTCTCTGTGTTGGTTGGCTGTAGATTTATCATATATGGCTTTTATCAGATTGAGGAAAACACCATCTATTCCAATTATCTGTAGAGTTTTTATGTAGAATGAGTATTAGACTTTATCCAAAGCTTTTTCTTCATCTATTGAGATGGTCATGTGATTCTTGTCTTTGACTCTATTGATATGGTGTATTATGTTTGTTGATTTGCATGTGTTAAACCATTCTTGCATTCCTGGGATAGATTCCACTCAGCCATGGTGTATAAACTTCTTGATGATTTGCTACATTCTGTTTGCTATTGTCTTATTGAGGATTTCTGCATCTATATTCATTAGGAAGGTTGGCCTATAGTTCTCTTTTTGATTGGATCTTTCTCTGTGTTTGGTATTAGGGTAATACTTAATTTCAAGAATGAGTTAGGGAGAGTTATTTCCCTTTCAATTTCATTGAAGAGTTTGAGGAATGTTGACATTAAGTCTTCCCTAAATTCAAAATAGAATTCAGCAGTGAATCCATAGGACTTGGGCTTTTCTTTGTTGGTATGGTTCTAATTTCATTAATTGGAATTGGGTTATTCAGCAGTTTTACATCTTCTTCATCCAGCTTTTGTAATTCCTATGTTTCTAGGAATTTGCTCATTGCTTCTATGATATTGAACCTATGAGATTGAAAGTTTTTGAAGTAGGTATTTTCAACATTTTAGTTGAAAATAAAAAGTTCTATTCTACATCAGGGTTGTCTGTTATAAGCAATATTTTATTTTCTGTTTTTTTCCTTTTTTCCAATTAGTTTGATATTATTATGTGTAATGTGTCACAACTATTATTTTGGTTATCTCACTATGAAATACCTTCTTGACTTATCAATGTCTAATATAAAAGTGCTTTCACCTTTTCCTTGACCGTACAAAGGACTTAAAATATTTTAATATTATTTGGTATCCTGTTCAATTTAAATAGGTGTCATGTACTATGATTATAAGTTTAAACCACACAAAATATTATTTTTACAAATATTATTTATAGTTACACATACACTTTAATCATGTTTTCTTTTGTTCTTGATTTCCAATTACATTTTCTTGTTTCAGCTAATATTATTTTTCTTTTGCCTATAAAACTACCTCTAATTTTTCTTTTATTGTATTTTATTAATAGTAAATTCTTTCAGGATTTCTCTGTCTAGATATATGTTTGTTTCTGATCTTCATTTTAAAGCTCTTTTTGGTATGTAATTAAGGTCTATTTTTACATTCTTTTAGCAACATGAATTTTTCATTTTATTGTCTGAATTCTGCTGTTGAGAAGTCAGCTACAAGTCTTATTTTTTCTCCTTTGAAGGAAATATATCTTTTCTTTACTTGTGTCTGTTTTTAGAATTTCTTTTAAATTTTGCTTTTCAGCCTTTTACTATAGTGTGCCTGAAAGTTTGTGTTATGTGTGTGTATTTGCATTTATACTTCTAGCATTTATGGTGCATATTGATAGCGATAGGTCAAATAAACATCACTGCACTTTCTGGGTGGCTCTGGGAGTCTGCTGAAATCTCAGCTGAGAGTCTCTGGAAAGTTCAGGAATGTTCAAGTATTCAAACAGAAAAGTAGCACCCAAATTGCCTC